CACTTGCCAGAAGCGGCCGGCGGAGGCCCCTCCCCCGCCGTCTATCCTCCCGAATATCGCCTCGGATTCACTTCTCCGCACGCCCTACCTTCCAGTAAGTGGTCACTTCTCTGTTCAGAGAGTTGTTGCTACTCTCCTGTTCGATCTCCTGTTGAGTTCGTAGGTGTTCAGAATGGTTTGATCCCTATTCAGCTGAATTCCTGAGACCAGACGAAATCTAGGTCTCCTACTCCTCTGCCATCTTGCTCCGCCCCCGCCGCCTCTTTAGTCTCTTGATGTAGCATACTAACATGAGATGTGTAAAATCAAGGGACACCGTGGAAGTACTTGTGGCTTATACTGTGTTAATTTCAGTGTTGTTAGAAAACGAGAATAGGTGTGACCTCGAGAGCTCCACAAACAGTGATACCTGGATTCCAAGACAGCTGAAACCAGGGCCCTTCCCAGGCTGAAACGTTCTTTTTACTACTCTAAATATAATGTGGTTTTCCAGTGCACACCCAAGATTCACTCTGCCAAACATTTAACACAATCAGTAAAGACTCCTTCTCTCTTGTAGAAACAGTAGATAATACAGAGTCTTTAGTCACCAAAAATATCTTTATCACATAAAGAGTTATATTCTGGTTCATAAAGATAAAACAACCATACCTTTAGGCAGAGAAATCCTAATACTGGTGAAGCCTTATCACAGCAACGGGAGGCGTAAAATAAAAAAACTACTGCATTTGAATTAAAGAAAATCTAATAGGTAATTAGGTAAATGCGAATAATGTTATTTAAAGACTGCCATCTATTATCTACTTTGTTGGAACACTTAAATATCCATGTGCATGATTTAAGTGTGTGTTAGAGACAGGAATTTTTCTTCTAGACTCTGCACATCATTCAGCACACAATTCAAAATGTTCTGATATATCTGACGCATTCCCAATGATGTTATACCAAAATCTATAATATCAAACTCTCAGAGATTATCACTTTCAGTGCTAAGGAATACTTTTTCTTTTCTTTACAGGAACACTTAATGGTGTGACTTCTGGAATATCTTTTTCAATATCTCAAAAATCAGAGTAACAGAATTTATTTTAAAATTAGGGTTATGATTCAGAGGCAAAGTAGAAATTACTGCTCATTTAAATCATAAGAAAGAAATATATAAAACCATTTTAAGATAATAGTGAAAGGGTTTTTGCCTAAGAGTCTCCATCTTACTATTTTGCTTTGGTTGTTTATTCAAGTTGAAACAGCATCACTAGTATTTTTGTCTTCGAGCATTTTGCTTTTGGAAGAAAGCCTTCCCAAATTCATAGGTACTGATCATAATAGCACAAGCAGGAGCAATTTTAATTAAACGGGGAATGAGGCCTGTAAATAATCCTGCAAATCCATTCTTAGCAACAATGTTCTTCATGATAGTGCAGGTTGACATAGGCAAAGGCATAGAAATTTTATGACTTTCATATGTCCAAAGTTGAGTCTGCTTTTGTGTTTTTACCACATCGAATGGCAAAGTTGCAACAGCTGCAAAAGAACCAGACAATGCCCCTGAAGTAAAGTTGATCATAAATGTTGGTTCGTATAAACCAGATTTCGCACACAACCACTTCTTTAAAACTTCATAGTTATACCAGTACATTGCTGAGAATGGTACATCTCTAAGAACAGTAGGAATCCAGCCTCTCCAAAGGGAAATCCAACCATCTTCAGATACTTTCTTGCTGACAAATTGATGCAATTCTTTGTAAGAAAACTTCTTAGATTGCATCTTGGTTCTAATCAATTCTAATGGACTTATCACAGTTACTGCACCTAATCTGGCAACAAATCCGGCAATAATTGGTATACAACTTTCATTTTCTCCTAATTTTGATCTCAGGAGAGCAGATAATTGATCATAGCAGGTAAAATAAATAACTGTGGCAGGAACTGCCATCACTAAGGTAGGGGGAAGGCCACTCCACATGGATTTAATGCCCTCATTTCGAACAATTTTCAAAAAGGCATCCTTGTAGATGACAGAAACTTATATCCCACATTTCTGGAGGCTGGAAGTCCCAGATCAGGGTCTCTGATTTCTTCTTGTATCCTCACATGGTCGAAGGGCAAGGAGGCTCTCTTTTTCTCACATTTTTTAAATTTTCCACTGATTTCCAATGTCACCTTTGCCTTAAGTATCCACAAATATGTGCATCTGTTTTTGGTCTCTCTATTTTGTTCCATTTGTCTATAAGCCGATTTATGTCAGGATTTCATTATCTAAATTCTATAACCTTTTCAGAATAAGACTATATTATATTAACATCATATTTAATATGCCAAGTTCCCCACCTTCTTTTTCTTCATGTAAATCTTTACAACTCTTGATTTTTTATATTTTCATATAATTTCTGGAATTGCTTGTCAAGTTCCACAAAAGCAAAAGCAAAAATCCATGACTGATGTAAAAACATTGTTGCAATATTGATTGGAATTATCTTTATAAAATTTAGTTTTTCAATTTGTGAACAGTATATGTCACATTTACTTGGAATTTCTTTAATGCCTCTGGAAAAAAAGTTATTATTTTCCTTCAATAAAAGCTTACTCATTTTGATTAGATTATTTCAAGGTTCAGAATTTAAAAAAAATTTTATATGAGGGGTGCCTGGGTGGCCCAGTCGGTTAAGGAACTGCCTTCAGCTCAGGTCATGGTCCCAGGGTCCTGGGATGGAGCCCCATGTAGGGCTTCCTGATCAGCAGGGAGCCTGCTTTTCCCTCTTCCCCGCTGCTCATGCTCTCTCTGCCTCGTTATCACTCTCTCAAATAAATAAATAAAATCTTTAGAAAAATTTTTTAACATGAAATCGTATCTTTTTAAAACATTTTTATTTTGCAACTATTTGCTCTCATTATTATACAGAACTACAACGAAGCTAAGCTCTTATTTCTAGAAATTTATCCACATATTCTTTTGATTTTCAGTATCTGCAATTATATAATACATAAATAATGAGTTTTATTTTTTTCTCTCATTCAATCTTGATACTTTATTATACACTAGCAATATATCATTATGGGGACCTTATTGTTTTTTATCCTGTTTCAACTAATACATGTTAGGGGATAAGTGGTAACATTTATTTAATAAGCATACTAAAATTCCTATGTTTAGAATATAATCAAATTATTAAGTAATACTTCAGTGACAAGCATTTCCATTTTAAATAGACTTGTGCCTGACAGATGGGAATCCTACGTGCACTAGATATTTTATTGCTTGCTACTCTTCCATATTTGAGCAAAAGCTATCATAAAATATAATTTATATGTTATTATGAAATTATCAGTTAGCTTCTTTAAAATATTTAAATATTTTGATGCTAGAAAATATAGTCACCACTGACACCAGATAAAATATTTTGGCATAGCTTTTCCTCAGCAAAGACTTTTACACTTACCAAAACCGTGTGTCCATTTTCCAGGTGGATGTGTTTATTGGCCAAGGAGAAAAGGCTAGTATTCATGCCATTTGATCAGTAAAGTCATGTTGCTTTTATAATTGTCTATAGAGTTCAGAAATCTTTATCATTTCTTTTAGACAATGAATATAATGTGAATCAAAACAATTAAATCTGATTTATTATTTGTCATACAGTTTGGCCAATTTGGGGATAAGATAATAAATAGCAGTATTTCCTAATATTTGACTAAGTAAATGGCATTTTGAAAATTTAAAATGAGGGGCGCCTGGGTGGCTCAGTTGGTTGGGTGACTGCCTTCGGCTCAGGTCATGATCCTGGAGTCCCGGGATCGAGTCCTGCATCAGGCTCCCTGCTCTGCAGGGAGTCTGCTTCTCCCTCTGACCCTAACCCCTCTCATGCTCTCTCTCTATCTCATTCTCTCTCTCAAATAAATAAATAAAATCTTAAAAATAAAAGAAAATTTAAAATGAATAGATTATCATCAAAGATATTACATAACCTCATGTTTAAAAATGAATATTTTTAAAGTATTTGTAATCCAGGGAAACATTATCCAGGAAATCATAAGTAATATTTAACTTAGTCTGCAATTCTGACTGAATGATTTTTAACTGATTGTGCAGATTTGCTATCTAATAATGTTAATGCGCAATCCTGTGACAAGAGAAACTGGCAACATTCTAAATATCATGTACATGATTTTGCTGATTAGATTTCGATTATATGAAATTCTAGTTGGATTCTAATTTTAGAATGTTTGTTCAGTTACTCCGATCCCTAATTGTTTCTTATAAATCAGATGCAATGGAAAATTACATTTTTATTACTTCTTTTTATGCTTATTTTTATGAGAATTTTTTGTGGCTAAGCCATTAAAAATTAATGCATTATGGATGAAAACAATCCATGTCTTCATGATAGCCATCTTGTTCTTTGGGAAGGGCATGGACATGCAGGAGGATGCAAGAAATCCTTAATCTCTGACCTTTGACAAATTACTTAACCATTCTGAATTTTAGTTTCCTCAGCTGTAAAAAAGGAATGTTATAACCTACTTTAAAGGGTTTTATATTATAGGGGTGCCAGGGTGGCTCAGTTGGCTGACTTGATTTCGGCTCAGCTCATGATCTCAGGGTTCTGAGATACAGCCCTGCATTGGGTTCTGTGGTGGGCATGGAGCCTGCTTAAGATTCTGTCTACCCCCCCCCCACTGTGTTCTCTCTCTCTCTCTCAAAAAAAAAAAATAAAGAATTTTATATTATAGATGATGTTACTTGTATAGAGTAGTGATTCAAAAATAGTCATTGATTAATAATAAAAACAAGTGAACATTAAAAACAGTGCAAAAACTTCTGACAGCTATTTGTAGTACTGAAGACATTCAGATGCATTTAGGGAAAGTAGTAGTAGTCTTTCCCTGAATGTAGTATTCACTGAAGAAAAATCACAGGGAATGATGACTTAATTCTTTTCACCCAATAGATTATTATTGATTATACACTAGGTACCTTCCATCAGTGCTCCATCAGCCTAATTAGACCACCCTGCTTCCGTAGCATACTGAAATTAGGTTCACTTTTTCTGTGCCTAGAGATAAGTGGGTTTTTTTAGGGTGTGTGTGTATGTGTGTGTGTGTATGTGTGTGTGTTTATTTGTTTTGTTTCTTGGCAGTAAATGAATTAAAAAATGCTTGGAACAGGTTACAGGAGACTTGAATTCCAGGTCTGCCTCTGCCAGTCATTAGCCTTCCAGCTTTAAGCAGATCACCTTAAGGCATCTGTATCTCTGCTTACTAATATTGCTACCTTAACTTCACAGAATACAATGATCCTTGTTGCAAGACCATTACCTAAAAAAACAGCATGAGCTGAAAAGAAACCTTTGGGGTTAAGGAGGAAAAGGAGATAAATGAGAAGCTGTAGAAGTCACAACAATTCAGGCAAGTGGCCAAGTCACACCCAGGGCAGAGGCTGGTAGAAGCCTGATTGGTGATTTCACTTAGAGGGTCAAGACTAAAGATCGCTCATTTCCTCCAGGAATAAAATAATGGCTACAGAAGATGTGGTTAGAAGGGTTAAGAGTTTCAGAAAAACCAGCAGATAGGATCAAGAGAGAATTCTGACAAACATATTATTAAATAGAGCTGAGGCCACAGGACTGGTTTTAACCACCTGCCAAGAGCTTTTCACATAGGAATAAAGACATATTATACCCAGGAAGCTAAGACACCCAAACCTATTATAATGTGGTGGAAGATATTTCAAAACTTTACATACACAAAAAAATTTAAGTTGCAGTCAATCTTTTCTGGAAATAATATACTCATTTACTTTGAGTTGATGAAAAACATTTCTTTCCAAATTGCTCAGACTATTTAATAAAATCTAGGAAGCAGGCATAGCTGGAACAGATTTAAGGACCCAGTGTGAGAAGAAAAGTGAAGAAACTAAATTGGTAACATCTACTTAAATTAATGTAGGGAAACCACTGAGAATTGTACAAAATATTTGTACCAGGTAGTTTGCCCCACGAGTAAATCTAGATAAGCAGCATTCTCCCAAAGGGGTACTCATTAGATGGCTTGCACTTTGGGATCAGAAATCTTCACTACAATAATCATCTAGGGACTTTCAGTTCCACCGAATTCCAATTTCAAGAAAACAACCCTAGGAGCACCATTTATCGTTCCAGCTCAATCCCTCTAAAATTCCTACACTCTTTCAACTGCATAGATTATCTACAATATTTTGATCCTACCACCTTCTTACTACCCCTCACATTCCTCCTCTTCCAGTTTAGATAGATATATGATCATTCATCACAATCAGTTTTTTATGAACACAGCCCTGTCCCCTCTTTCATTTTATTATACCCATACACAAATTCCATTTCTGGTTAAATCCAGTTAACCATGAATTCTTTGCCATTTTCCACCAAATTGAACATAACTGGAGTAAAACACAAAAACTGGACAATTGATGTCACCTTAAGTCCATAATGCTCCATCTTAAGTGGGTCCTTAGACCTACCTGGTCTCTACTTTTCTAAATGATTATTTCAAAATTTTCCCCACACCGTTCCCAAATGTCATTCTGTAGCCCTACTCTAATCTGATGAAATGACATATTTCATATTACTCCCTTCCTTCTGGATCCTAAGTTCTGCCTTCTTTTCTGTTACTGTGTCTTCATTGCCCCTGCTCTTGACCAAGACCACAGATCCCATTCCCTTCACTTCACCCTCCTCACCAAGTCAAGGGCATTACTCTGGCAATACTCCTCTCTTTTGCACTATCAGTTTCATCCTCTCTACTGGTTCTTTCTTATTAGTCTATAAATATATTGCTATCTCTCTCTCCTATTTAAAACATAAAATACCTCTCAATTCTACTTGTTCCTTTCCCTGTTGTCCTACTTTTCTGCCTCTCTTTTCAGCAAAACTCCTTAAATTCGTGTTCTATCTTTTCCATCTCCTATTTCTTTCCTCTCTTCCTCTTAAACTCCTTAAAGGGTGTCTTTCCTCCAAATATGACACTAACACTGCTACCAACAAGGTGACTGATGAATTCCACGTTATTAAATCCTTCTTCATCCTACTTGTTGTGCCATATTTGGCACAATGATTACTCCCTCCTCTTTGACACACATCCCTCACTATGCTTCCAGGGCATGAATATGCTCAGTTTTCTTCCTACTTCTTTGTCTACCTAGTCTCATCCCCTATATTGGTTTCTCCTCATCTCCCTAAACTCTAAATGTTGGAATTCCACAAAGCATAGTTTTTGAATATCTCTTTTCTTTCTACATTCTCCTTGCATGATTTCATCTAGAACTATTGTTCTAAAGACAATCTAGGCAACTCTCCCTTGATCCCATAGATCAATTTAAAGATAAATCCCAGATTTGTATATCCAGACTGGATCTCTCCTCAGACTCAGATGCTAATGGATATTAGCTGATTCTTCCTGAAGACTGTTCTCCCTGATGTCTTGGCTCATTTCAATAAAATGTTAGTACTATTCTTCTACATCCTCAGCTAAAGTGGACCTGAACTCTCCTTCTCTTATATCCCACATTAAAATCCATGGGCAAATCCTACTGACTGGTTGTACATTTAAAATAAATCTGGGGGGCGCCTGGGGGGCTCAGTCGTTAAGCATCTGCCTTCGGCTCAGGTCATGATCCCAGATTCCTGGGATTGAGCCCCACGTCGGGCTCCCTGCTCAGTGGGGAGGCTGCTTCTCCCTCTCCCACTCCCCCTGCTTGTGTTCCCTCTCTCACTGTGTCTCTCTCTGTCAAATAAATAAATAAAATCTTTAAAGAAATAAATAAATAAAATAAATCTGGAATTTGATTACTTCTCTTTACATCTGCTGCTATAGCATAAGCCAATTCCCCATAGTCTTTGGATTATCATAACAGTGTCTTGCTTGGTCTTCCTGCTTCTGCCTTCAGAACCTTCTCAGTAATACTTGCCTTGGCCAATGCATCTAAAAACATGATCCCCTCTACTCAGGCTTCTCTATTCTTCCCTATTTTTTTTCCCTTAGCACTTATTATAATAAAATATGCTCCATATTTAATTTTGTGTTGCCTATTGTCTGCCTCTCTCAACTCCTCCATACAGAGACTAGAATGCAAACTCAGGGAGGATGAGGATTTTTGTCTCTCACTCATTGTTGTTTTCCCAGTGCCTAAGACAGTATCTAGAACACAGTATGTACAATATATTTATCAAGAACTCCACTTACACTGTTGAATGAGAATAATGTTCATTTACATATACAAGTATAATTACATGCAACTATATTCATTTTAAAATGCAGGTTTAAGTCAATTCAGACTGCTATAACAAAGTATCATAGACTATGTGGCTTAAACAACAGACATTAATTTTCTCAGTTTTAGAGGCTGGGAAATCCAAGATCAAGGTGCTTGCAGATTTGGTTCTTAGAGAGGGCGCTTTTCCTGGCTTGCAGATATCCATCCTCTCACTGTATCCTCACATGATAGAGAGAGACAGCTCTGGCTTTTCTTCCTCTT